GTTTTTACATCTGACGCGCCTAATTTGAGTGTATTTCACGCATTTTGCCAGGTAGGATCCGAGTGTTTTTTTGTTTAAGTTTTGGATAGTTAAAGTGCCTATTTGTGCACTTAACAAAGTTAAAGGTCAAAGTTATAATTTGAAGCCAAGTTAAGGGTCCAATTTATGTATTATGTCTTCTTGTGCAGACTGCACCGCTTTCGAACTAGTATAACTTTTCTGAATATTTTCGTATTTTTTGAATCTCTTCTTATTCTTCCTCAGATATAGAAAATTATTCTGAAAAGATTTTTTATTTCTCTTCAAGGATTAGAGATTGTGAGATTCTTTATAATGAGGACCCCTTTTATTTATAGAGGAATACTAACTTGATCCCAAAGTAAGGGTTCCTAACTTTTCTTCAAAGGAATCTACATAATAGACATTCACGATAATACAAATATGCTTATAACATTCTCCCTTGAATGTCTATTTGATAGATTATGTGGCTCGTTAAAATTTTACTAGAAAGAATCCAGTGGAAAAAATTGTAGTGAAGGAAAAAGAGTACTGTTATGGATCTTTAGGGAAGGATCGATTCACAGAGCGATATATAAATCAACTCATTAAAGGGAAGCTGAAACCTTAGAATTCATTAAAAGAGAGAACTCTGATCTCTTCAGCTCTTCAAAGGGAAACTGAAACCTTAGAGTTCAATGGAAGAGAGAACTCTAATCTCTTGTTTTTTGTTGAATTATGACTTACTGGTTTATTCATCAAAAGCCCCTTTAAATAGGAGTCTTATTACATCAATAGTAAGTCTAATTCTTATGAAAGTAGGAGACCTAAATCCTATTCCAAACTAATAGCTATAACTTAACCTAATCCTTATGAAACTTTGAAACTAAACCCTATTCTAGATTAATAAATAAAGCAACTAAAAATATAATTAAATACTTAAATTAATGACTTCCAACGCATCCTAACATTACTTCCCTTACGTTGAAAGAGCTTGTCCTCAAGCTCAAGTTTCAGGGCAATCCTCTAGAAAATCTGGATCAGTATCAACATATCCAATTCCAGCCCTAGCTTGAAGTTGACATTGATAAATTTCAACTCTATTTGTTTGTTGAAGCAAGATTAATTTGTCCATCAGGTTGGTACTTTCATGAGGTCCAAATCGCTAATATTCTTCCCAACTCATTGAGCCTTTCACTCGTTTAAGTTGATAATACCATAATGGTGCTAGTTCGAACAAGTGAAATCCAGCCACAACAATCTTTTTTGCTTTCATGAGGTCCAAATCGCTTATTTTTTTTTATTTTTTCAAAAAAAAATGTTCACAACGATGTGCCTGAATGACGAGAGAGAGTTGCTCGGTTGGTAAGCACTCCTTATTTCCAACCCAAAGGTTGCGAGTTCGAGTCACCAAGGGAGCAAAAAGGGGTGGGATCTCCTAGGGAGGGTAAAAAAAGAACAATGTTCCTGAATTAATGGATTATTGGTGTCGTTATAAGTAGGTGGTGTATTGCCTTTTGTAGCAGGAATTGTTGATATGCTAGTTGTTTGGGCACTATTTGACTCAGGTTTGTGGGTTGCTGATTTTGTAGAGTCAATTCTCAATCTAGACAATTGTTCTTGGATGACTTGGACAATTCTTTCGATGAGGCATTTTTCCATTGCTGTAATTTTATAGTTCATTGAGGTTTCTGTAATGGTATGTTTTCCTTGAAATCGAGAACTGATCTCATCGCCCATTGTGTTAGGCTCTGATACCAAATTGTTATGGATCTTTAGGGAATGATCGATTCACAGGGCGACATATAAATCAACTCATTAAAGGGATGTTGAAACCTTAGAATTCATTAAAAAAGAGAACTCTGATCTCTTTAGCTCTTCAAAGGGAGACTGAAACTTTAGAGTTCAATGGAAGAGAGAACTTTGATCTCTTGCTTTTTGTTTTAGTTAAATTTTTGGCCCTATGGACCATTTTATTAAATAATCAAACAAAAGCCAAATAATCCAAATCAGGTCCAAAAGTGACCCGACCCAACAATTACAAACAAAAGCAAAAAGCAGCTCTCAGACACTCTTCAAGAAATGTCTGAAAATTTTCTCCTTGGCTAATCCGCCGCCCCTGTAACTCCTCCACCTTGACGCCTTAGCCACAAGATGAAGATGAGCATCATTTCCGCCTGTTGCAGCTGCCATGGTGAGTGTATCCCTCTTGCTTTTTGTTGAATTATAACTTACTGATTTATTCATCAAAAGCCCCTTTAAATAGGAGTCTTATTACATTAATAGGAAATCTAATTCTTATGAAAGTAGGAGACCTAAATCCTATTTTACTAATAACTATAACTTAACCTAATCCTTATGAAACTTTGAAACTAAACCCTATTCTAGAATAATAAATAAAGCAACTAAAAATATAATTAAATACTTAAATTAATGACTTCCAATGCATCCCTAACAAGTACAAATATATAATAATATGCATTTTGGATGCCTCTTTAAAAACCTTACAAGGAAAACTCATAAGGATAAAACTTTATGAGGAAAAAAGATACATCACATATTAACTCCTGATGAGAACATCAATCCAAATATTTGAATCTTTCCATCCCAATCTTGTGCACCATGCATCTTCCTGAAAGTTGCAATTGGTAGAGATGCAGTAAATAAATTGTTCAAATTGATTTGAATGAATATGTTGCACATTGATATCACCATTTTTTTTTAGCTTAGGTACGTAGAAGAACTTTTGTGAAATATGTATTGTTTTATCTCCCTTTATGAATCCTTCTTCCAATTGTGTTATGTGTGTTGCATTATCTTCATATAAAATTGTGAATATTTTGTCATATTTCAAGTCATATTTTTTTCGAATAAGATTGTATCATTGGGCGCAGCCACAATATTTTTTGCTTGCTTCATGAATAATTATTATATCATCATGATTTGATGAAGTAGCCACAATAGACTGCTTTGTATATTGTCAATATATGATAGTGCCCCCACATATAAACATCTGGCGTGTCTAAGATCGGGTCTTTTGTTGATCAAATCAATGCTTTTACATTCACAAACTTGACAAAATTTATTATGATAACACATTTAGAGTCTGTTTGGATTGATTTAAAAGTTGGTTAAGGGCCTGTTTGGGTTGGCTTTTGGCTTATTTTTGTTATTTTGGCTTTAAAATAAGTTCTTATAAGCACTTTTTAACTTTACCCAAACACTTCAAAACTGCTTAAAAATTATTTTGGCTTAAAAACACCTAAAATAAGTCAATCCAAACGGGCACTAAACCTACTTTTAAGTCATTTTAGCTTTTGGAAGTGTTTGACAAAACTAAAAGTAACTTAAAATTAATTAAAAATGACTTAAAATAAGTTAAAAGTTAAAAGTAGGTACTCTCCTACTTTTCAATTTTCAACTTAAAAGTTAATAAAGTTTAACTTTTTAAAAATTACTTTAAAAAAAAAACTACTTTTTTAAAGTTAAGCCAAACATATTCTCATATAAAGACTTGCAATTGATTATATTTCAATCTCTCCATATAGGACTAAAACTATGTCAGGTTCATTGTTAAAACGAGATAAATATATCAAATGAAAAAAAATATAGTACTTTAGGATCAATCTTATTTTGCAAATTTCTCATTTCAACTTCTTTTAGCAAATAATTTATTGCTTTTTGAAAACTCTTCAAGAGTTCCAGTTCAAGTCATCAACTTGCATAACATATAAAAGATTTTTGATTGATTTAATCCATATGAGGATTATAAACAAGGTTTTGCAAAAACATGTGTATGTTTTAGCCATTTTGAATTCTTCGGATGTTTTCATATCAATTTTGTCGACAACATTCAATATTAAATGCATGACATCTTCTAATATCTAGAGTACAAGTTAAATAAACTTTATGCCTATCAAGATGCATCATTCCACTTGATAAAACCCCCAACATCATCATGCTTTAATAGACCGTAGAATTCAGATCCTCATAATCTCTTTACAATATTGCGCTATATTGTATCAAAAATATCGTCGACAATATATCATTTGTCTCGACTCGCAATGTGACTTATATAACTTATTGAGATCTCATCGCTTCATTATATTTAGGTACTTATCCCTCTCGTGAAGTTTCATGAAGTTTTATATCGTAGGCTCTTCAAGAGCACATTGCCACTTTATTATTGTAATAAAAAAATATAAGATTTCTATGAAAATCATGAAATGCATGTTAGACAAAAATATTAATATTATAAATATAATATCATAAAATTATTAAAACATTTGACAAAAGGATAATCTATCAAGGCTACCTAAAAAAATAAATGGCTTGCATTGTGAAATATCAAGTCACTACTACTAAAGTGAATGACATCTAAAATATAACATAAGTTCTAAATTCAAAACAAAAAATTTAACATAATACTCTTTATGTCATTTCAACATAAGCGTACATAAATATGATTTAAAAGAAAAGAAAACCGTAAATTTATAACTTTATTAAACAACGAATTCTACTTAAATTTAAAAATTAAAATACTAACAAAATTATGCTAATGAAAAAAATAAAAAAAATAGATAGTACAAAAATTGCATAAAATCATATGAAGTATTGTGCATAAGAGGAAAATGAAACATAAATAACATAAAATAAGAAACATATTTTTAGAAAATTTTAGAATAGTAAAAAAAAATTTAAAATAATAGACATAAAAAAATAAAATTAAAACAAAAAAAATAAAAATAGAAATAAAATGAATAAATTAAAAAATAATCGACTTTATAAGCTTTCAGAGAATTGGAGAGTGTAACTACCTTGTGAATTACACATACTATCAAGTAACTATATTGTCAATAGAAAATGTAATTATATCAAATTATACCAAATCCAATAATTGTCAGATTTTTCTGACAATTCTTATTTTTTTTCAAGGCACATGTGTAAGATTGCATACAAATAGTATTTCTTTTTTAATTCTACTTATAATATTACACGGAATATGTTGTTGTTATGAAATATGTAGTTGAATGACGTTTGAAAAATTTTCACATAGATGTTTGCTTATCTTTTGCTCCTCATCTGGAGTCGAACCCAACAATGAATTCCCTTTTTCCTCTTTGTTTAATTTTCTCTTTCATTCTTCCTAAGTTTGCTTCTTCGACGGTGTTGTTTCAGGTATCCCCAAATAACCTTAATTTCCTCAAAATTTATATGTATTTCTATGTTTATGTACTTGCTTCACATATATTTAAAAAATGTAATTTTTATTTGTTAGGGGTTCAATTGGGAATCGAGTAATAAGCAAAGTGGATGGTACAACTCTCTCATCAATTTAGTTCCAGAGTTGGCTCATGCTGGAGTTACTCATGTTTGGTTACCACCATCATCTCACTCTGTTTCTCCTCAAGGTAATTTTGCGATCTAGTGGTTAATGAAGATCGGGTTCAATGAAAACATGATCCGTCCAACTCAGTGAGTTAGTTGAGTCTAGGGCTAATAGAAAATATGATTTGTCCAACTCATTCAATATGAAAATACCAATCCATAAAATCGCTCAAATTGACCCTTAGGTCCTTATTAAAATATTTTTTAGAAACTGAATTTTAAAAAAAATATTATATTAAGTTAATAGATCAAAAAGATAATAGTTTTATCAGTTTCTTTAAAAAATTATAAAAACATGGAAAGAATTGAATGAGTTCGGTTATGATCTGTTTTTAATCCATTACGACTCAATTAACTTTTCGGTGGGTCATATCCATCCAATTATCAACTCAACTCATTTTAACATAGTCGTACCGCCCCATTTAATACCACTAGTTGAGACACATGTAAGTTACCCCGAACGCAACTACTGATGGAAAAAGAAAAGAGCAGTATTCATGTTTTTCTTTTAGTTTCCCACGTTCGGAACTCATATTAGAGCTACGACTAAATTCGGATCGCGCTCTACAGGGACCCATTTGGGACATGATTTTTTTCATACTCAAGGCTCGACCCCGAAACCTCTGATTAAGGGGAGTGGTATTCATGTTCAATTGTTAGAAATGATAGTTATACTTCCCATGATAGGAAGGTGGATGGAATCCACAAGTTAAAGACTAGAGTTTGAGCTAATTGTCCTATAAATGGAATGCATTTTACATGTTTGAAAGATTGCCCAAATTAAAAGTGATGTAGTTGTTACAAATAGGATTACTTGAAGGCTTGTATAATCTTTTATGCCAGGAAGATTGTATGACTTGGATGCTTCCAAGTTTGGGAATCAGCAAGAACTGAAAACTCTTATTAAGGCTTTAGGTGACTATGGGATCAAATCGGTTGCTGATATAGTAATAAATCATCGATGTGCTGATAAGAAAGATAGCAGGGGAATATACTGCATCTTTGAAGGAGGAACGACGGATGACCGGCTTGATTGGGGTCCGTCTTTAATTTGCAAGGATGACACACAATATTCTGATGGCACGGGGAATCTAGACACGGGTTTGGACTTTGAACCTGCCCCTGATATTGATCATCTTAATATCAGAGTGCAGAAAGAGTTATCAGATTGGATGAATTGGCTCAAGTCTGAAATTGGATTTGATGGCTGGCGTTTCGATTTTGTTAGGGGATATGCACCTAGCATCACCAAGATTTATATGGGAAACACGTCCCCGGATTTTGCAGTTGGTGAATTTTGGAACTCTCTTGCGTATGGCCAGGACGGGAAACCGGACTATAACCAGGACAATCATAGGAATGAGCTAGTTGGTTGGGTTCAAAATGGGGGTGGGGCTGTAAAAGCCTTTGATTTCACAACCAAGGGAATTCTTCAAGCTGCAGTTGAAGGAGAGTTATGGAGATTGAAGGATTCCAATGGAAAACCTCCTGGGATGATAGGTGTTTTGCCTCAAAATGCTGTGACTTTTATCGATAATCACGATACTGGATCGACACAAAATATGTGGCCTTTCCCTTCAGACAAAGTTATGCAAGGATATGCATACATTCTCACTCATCCAGGAATTCCATCACTGGTGAAAAATAGAATTCCTATTCTTACTATGCATTTCTCATTGTGTCTATTTTACAAGATATTTGTATGCTTTTACGGGTAGTGGAGGAACTCGGCCTGTGTGAGTTAGCTAACAATGCCGGTCTCAGTAAAGATAAAATTATTTAACTAATGATCTATTCTCATAATACAGAATAGACATAATACATAAACAAAGACTCAAATTAGGCCTCAGGTGGCAAGTAAGCACTCCAATTTTAAGTATGCACATCTAGACACCTCAACTCGTCTAAACCATGTCAGTTGAACACTCCAACTTATGAAATGATCATCTAAACACCTTCAAAATTTATGTGTCAAGTCAGCGACCAAGTTGAGGTGTCTAGATGTCCACTCTCCAGTTAGAATGTTTACTTGTCAGCTGAGGCCAAGTTTGAGTTGTCTGTTATGTATTATGCCTACAGAATATGACTCATACAGCCAACCCTAACTTGATTGAGTTGAGGCATTTGCAAGAAGCTGAGTTTAACTCTTGTTTTTGGTTGCAGTTTTATGACCATTTCTTTGATTGGGGCTTGAAGGATGGAATTTCAGCACTAATCTCTATTAGGAAGAGGAATGGGATTTGTGCAACAAGCAATGTGCAGATAATGGCTTCTGATTCTGATCTTTATATAGCAATGATTGATCAGAAAATTATTGTCAAGATTGGGCCAAAACTTGATCTTGGAAATCTTATCCCACCTGGTTATCAGGTGGCAACTTCTGGACAAGACTATGCTGTATGGGAGCAAAAGACATTCATTTACCATACAAAATGTCACCATGTACAAAACGTCACCATGGACAAAATGGTTCTCAGTGTTTAATGTCATTTGACTGAAAATGTAATGTATATCAGAAACACTTAATGAAGGCAAAAAATTCAAGAAATTATATGCAATTTGCGATTATGGTTCATTCCAGGCAATAACAGGACTCAACTTTATACAAGTTTAAGTGTTTACTTGTGCACACTCAAAATTGGAGGACATATATGTGAGCTGAAGGTCAAGTTATATGACATATTTATGTATTATTCCTATATTTAACCGTGAATTAATAGAATTAACACTTTGATAAATCTGAGCTTGAAGCTCAAAGATTCATTACAGGGGAAATTTTGAAGAAGAAAATAAAAAGTAAATTGTGTATTGCGAATAATGAGCAGAGTTGTATTACAATTGTATCTACTCCTACATATATACATGTATGGAAATATCTTATAAGCTCAACTTTCAAAAAGAACCGAAACTGCTTATATATCTAATTTTTCGTGTGGAGATTACCTAGTTTGAAGGTATTTTGGTTTAAATATTTTGAAGGGAATGTTCTTGGGAGATTTTTGTACTTATTTTGGATTGTTATTCTGGTTCCTTTTACTTTCGATTTTGCCAATTGAACACTTAACTTATATTTGAACATGCGATATATATGAAGTCGATCATGGTTTTAAATCAACGTCATTTGAAATTGTGGTTAAAGTCTATCCAAAAACATAATTTGGAATTTCAAATCGTGATTTCATTTTTTTAATGTAAAACATAAGTTTAATTTTGTTAAAAAGAACCTGTCATTTTAAATTTTGTGAAAGAAAAAGACTCATGTATGACATGAAAAGATATTGTCTATACCCTGTTAAATGATTATATTAAAGAATAACTAGTTATTACTATTGTTGACTAGTGTTTTTAAAAAAATAAAAATTGTGTATATTTAAAATTTTGCAATCGCAAATATTTATTTATAAAATTAAATAGGGAGATATGCGATCTATTAATGCAGTGCCTTAAAATATTTCGATATATTGTTAATTATGAATTATGTTTATAGATTATTTTTTTTGATTTCATAACTTGTGGAATTTTCATATTTATGAGAAAAATATAATTAAAAAAATTTCAAATTACATGTTTAAATAAAAACTTCAATTTCAAATAATAAGGAAGATGATGGTCGATATAGGTTTTTTTATTTTTTATTTGAGATTTCTATGTGATATTAAAAAATGACGTGAAAGTTGATATGTAATCAAATGAAAAAGAGTTTAACATGCTGAGTTTAAGTGTTTAGTTGGAAAAAAAAACATGCAGAAGTCAAAATAATATGTTTCAAATCATTCAGGTAATTTTGTAAACATATATGTTACTTTTAAGATTTATTATTTTAAATACAACAAACTAAACAGTCAATAAAAAATAATCTTAGCAAAACTTATCTCATCGTAACTTGAATTCAAACCAAACGACTAGTGGCTCATGTTATTATTTGTAAGGCAGTAGTAAGTAATAATATTTTGATACATTATTTTTGTGTAACCACAAATGCAAATACAGTAGTACGTAGTATAATGTATCTGCAATTAATCATTATAAGTAGTAGTAGTTTGTGATGTTTCTTTAAGAGCCTGGAAAACTGTAGAACTTTTGTCAAAAATCTGGGCTCTCCTGTTGTAATCCATTGGTGCTTTGCCTTCATCATCTCCCATGATTGCTTCTCTTTCTAAACACTCCAATAACTCCACCATTCCACCCACTTCTTTACACTTACTTGACATTCTCCCCAAATTATCAATTTGTTCCTCTAATTTCCCTATTGAATCTCCTTTTCCACACTTGGACGATAATAATGGCTGCCGGAGCTGATTGCTACCGATATATTTACCATAACCGCTTGGAATTTGGAGGTAATTATGAGTTGCAGAAATGTTGGAATTGGGAATCAGAAAATGAGGAGGAGATGAAAAATGAGTTTTCACGTGAGGGAGAAAAGATGCCATAGCCGTCAAACAAAGATTATTTTATTTTTGAGATTGAGAATTTCGTGGGAATTGGAATAAAAAAGCTGCAAATTTGTTGATATTGGCGATCGAGAAAGGAATGGATATATTGTAGAAGAGTAGTTGAAGGATAGGCGCCACGTGGCGAAACTGACATTGTCACGTGGAAGGAAGGTCATAGTTGGAAGCGGCACGCTTCTCAAAGTGATGCCACGTGGCGTGCTAACTGTGACAAAGATGGTTGCGGGCACCGAGTGGAGCCGTTTCAGAATTCCCTTCAGCTCTTCTACCATATTTTTGGAATTTTGTAAAAGAAATGGGTAAAAAATGCTCTTAAACTATGTGAAAGGAATAAAAATGTCTTTATTTATAATTTGACTTAAAAATATTTTTGTCGTCAATACTTTTGTTCAAAAGTGTTATTGCAGTCAATACTTTGATCCAAAAATGTCTCTATAGTTATTAAATTGGTCAAAAATGCCCTTTTCTGAATAAGTATATTATTTTTTTCTTTTTAAACATATTTTCTTCTTAATTAATATATTAAAAATGTTCTTGTTTTCTTTCTTCTAATAATCACTTTAATAAATAAAAATGTAAGACATCTTATCAATTAAAATAGAATAACTTTATGTACCCTTTCGACAGATAATATATGTCATAGATATAAGATCATAGTATATCTATCATTAATTTATATTTATATAACGATAAACAAATTTATAATAAAATAAGAAATATTTTTATTTTTTATTTTTTTCTGAATTGAAGTAAGATAAATATTTACTAATTTTAAAAAAGTATTATTAGAAAAAGATGTGTTAAAAAGAAAATAAATAATATATTTATTTGAAAAAAATGAACATTTTTTTACCCAGAATAACAATAAGGGCATTTTTGGATCAAAGTATTGACGAAAAATATATTTTTGGATCAAATTACAAACTGAGGGAATTTTTGTTCCTTTCGCATAATTTAAGGGCATTTTGACCCTTTTCTCTTTTATAAATAAATGTGAATATTTTCAAAAAGAATTAATTATAAGTGATAGGAAAAATTGAATTAATGATTTCTTGATTTAATAAAATGGATAACTAATATGAGATAAATCAACTATTTTTAGTAAAATGATCAATTAATATGAGATGAAGGAGTAATCAATACTCCCTTTATTTTTAATCCAAGTAAAGAAGAACCACACGCAACTCACTTCCCAATGTATGTTGAATTGTGTTTCAAAGATTTCTCCTCAAATTTACTCACACTATAAGCAAATGCCAAATTCTTGTAAGAGACCTAATATAATATTGGTTACTTAAAAAAAACTACTGAGTTATTGGTTTGATATTGATTTTTTAATATTGGGTTATTGGGTTAATCGATAACTCATTAAAAATATAATAATTTACTATTTTAAATTTTAGTCATACATAAGTATCAAATAAAAAATATTAATATAATCACTATATTAAACTTTAACTATAAGGATCCTACGTAATTAACATTACTTAATTAACTCTGCTCTCTGCAATTATTCTTTTGCTCTCTGCATTTATTCTTTAGATTTTAGTATTACTTTAGTCTTTGAGGCAACGACTAGGGCTGTGAATTATGAGTATTTGTTATACTTTTACTATACTAAGCAGAATTTTTGCACTCAATGAGTAATTAGATTTCTCTCTTTTTTATTTTGTGTTAAATTGTTGGACAAGTCATATATTTGTTTTGAAATCATTTTCTTATTGGTTAAATCGAAAATCGAACCGTGAAAGACTAAAACCGATAAACCAAAAATCAATAACAAATATCTTATTGATTTAGCATATTTAAAAATCGAAAACCAATAAACCGAACTGATAATACTTAAAACCAAACCAAACCGATCGATACAATAGATACTCCAGTACATATATGTTGATTCAAGTAAATGAGTAATAATGTATACGCCAAATTACAAGTAATAATGTGCAACCCTAATGCGATTTAAAGAATTTAATTGCATATATTCGCTAGCCAGTTGTAATGTGATATTGGATCTCTTATGAATTTGAATTTCATGTCCAAAATTGATAATAAAAAAAGAATCGGAGTACTGATAAGCGGGACAAAATGGTTTTTTATTTATTTATTGGGTCCATGTAATTTATATGGTATAAAAAATAATTTATTTTGCTATGCTAAATTTATTTTAATGATAAATATAATTGGATGATTTTTCTAGATAAATATCTTAAGTTAAGTGATTTTATTGATATAAAACAAAGTTTAATGACTTTGCCAGATAATTTCTCATAGTTTAATTACCTTTTACGATATTAACTCGAGATTATAGATTTTTATTTTTTTTTGAAAAAATAGTTTTAAAAAAAAGAATTTGACAAAATCACTAATGGGGCAGCGATTTTAATTTTTTTTAACAGCCCAAACGAAGTTAATTTAGTAATAAAGATATCGCAGCCTCTAGAGTGATTTTACCCTTTTATTTTTATTTTTATATATACCGTTTATGTTTTCTGAAGGAAAAAAGTTTCCCTTTTGATTCTGAACTCTAATTTATGATCAAAGGAGTTTAACACACAAAAATAGAAGATAAAATGGAGAGGCTTGGGCATGAAAATGACAAAGTCTAACTATACAATGGTGGATCCATTATGGGAGGAAAATATGTACAACCGTTATACCTTGTGTGCTAAGCACTAATGTACAAAAGAATCAGCTATCTACAAAACATAGAGGCGTGCATACATGATTTAAACTAGATCTTTTAAGTTTTAACACTAAATTCATTCTACTTTTGAACTTATGGATACATGTATAGCATTTATTGAATTTTTAGAGGATATTCACACATATTTATGAATTCACATACAGGTATATATATATGCTCCATGTCAAAAAAACTGGATTCGGATGAATGTCCCTGTGACAAGATAACTATGACCAAAATAAGCTGCTAATGGAAATTTACTAGCAGCAACAATCTCCTATCCAGGACATTCCACTGCTTATGGATAGCATGATAAATGGATGAATCCTTCATTCAGGTCTTGACATATCGAAATAAAAAAAGAATGGAGTAGGATCATGATCCTACTTGTTCCTTCAACAGCTAGAATTTTGTTTATTCAACAATTCTCCTGTGGCTCTTGACCAGATGTTTGTTCCCTAAGCCTCCTCTCAGCAGCTATAGCAGCAGCAACAGAAGGTGGAAAATGCGTCAAGCTCTCAGTTGCCTCTTCATCGAT